GCGACGGGCGTCTCCATGGACTCCTGGGTCTTCCTCTAGAGCTGAACCCCCCGCCACACCCCGCCCTGCCCCGCAACCCGTTTCCCGCTTCCGCCCTTGGGATGGGGTCTCCTGGGCTCCCACCGCGTGCTGCCGCATCCCGCACACAAGCAAACCTACCCACCCACGCCACTTGACCTGAGGAACGGCCTGCCCTCGCGTGGGAGGAGAGGGAGGCCTCGGAGACCACGGGCGCTTGAGCGCTCAGGCTTGTGGGCGTGGTCAGAGGAGGCGCCCCCGCAGAACCTGCGCATCAGCCTTGAACGCGCCACAGTCGTCACACGTGGGGACTCCGACCCCCAGTGCTACCGGGGGAGGGGGCTGTGTGTTTCAAAAAGAATCGAGCGCGGTCCTGCTTCCTCAGTGTGTACGCCAGTTTTGTATTCCTGGAAAACTCAGCGTGCGCTCGTTAAAACTGCAAAAGCGTCTTGTGCTGAGAGGTAAAGGGAGCAGGATCCGGGCTCGGAGCGCTGTGACCAACCTCTCAGCTGCAAAAGATCGGGGGTGTGGGGAGCCTGGGGACCTCTAAATACCCGTCCTTTCCCCCCCACCCCTGCCTCGAGAACCAAATACCTGCCGGGCCTCGGGGCTCGCAGTCCCCACCCTGCCGCGCGGCCCCGGGCCCTAGGTGCCAGGGCTCGCGTCCCAAAGTCCCCAGAGGAGGCCCGGAAGGAGTGGGAGATGGGCACTTTTATCTCCTGTGGCAATGGAAACAGACCCAGTGGGGTACCCGGGAGGGAGCCATGTGGAAGGTGGCTGGTCCCCAGGCCCAGGGGAGGCTGCAGGCGTGAGGGTGAGGCTGAGGCTGAGCTTGAAGAGCAGCAGGACGGCCTCCTCTTTGAAGGGTGTGGTGCTCCCTCCCCCTCCCTCCACCGTGGGGTCCCAGGAGACAGGACAGGAGGCCTTGAAACCAAGGTGCTGCTTGGCAGGCAGGCTGGTGAGGTGCAAGGGGCACAGTGAGAGGCAGGGTGGGCATGGGGGAGCCGAGCCATGGAAACAGAGACTGTCTCAGCAGAACGGGTGAGACGGCACCTCCGCCGAGAGCCTTTCCCACTCCAGCACCAACATTCCCAGGACAGCCCGGGTCCTGGGGCCTGATCTCCCTTCAGAGAGGACCCAACTTCTCTAGCCTTGGCCTCCCCACTGATCAGACAGGAATGCGCATATGAGGATGCCTGCAAGAGCTGAAGGCCTGGGGTGGGGAGGCCGCAGGCTCGGGGCCAGCAGCTGACCCCTGGCTGGGAGGCTATCAGAGCCCAGGGAAGCCCATCCATGAGGCTGTCTTCTTGTAAGGAAATACAAACAAAATTTGGTTTGGACCTTTTTAAAAACTGTAGTTACATACAGAAATATCCAAAGAGAACACAGACCACAAAAGCAACGTAATATGTTAAGTCGTTTCCAACAGCTGTAAAAACACCTCTTCACTCCTCTCTTTAAAAAATTATTTTTATTATTTTTGTAAATGTCTCACTTTGGGCGTACTGAGAGATGTAGTGCTTCAAGGGAAGTGTGGGGGTGAGAGAAGGGAAGGGGGGCTGGCTCGACCTGTGCCCTCAGGCCTCCCCCAACCCTCGCCAGCTCAGGATGCCAAGGTGGACCGGGATCCTGGAGACAGACTGCTGGTGTCTTCTCCTTTCTTACGACAGGACTGGGACATCCTCCAGTAAACCAGTGACTCCCAGTGAGATGACACAAGGAGGTTTATGGCGCCAGCCTCCAGCGATGGCCAAGAGCGCACTGCAATGTCCCAAAAGTGCCTGGCTCCACCTGGCTGTAAGGCTCAGCTGCTGAGATGACTGTCACAGGGCGGGGCCGTGTTGGTGGATTAGTGGTCTTCTTGGGCCCCCCCAGATTCACCCACACCCCTACAGGGAGGGCCTTGCCTGGCTGCCAACCCACCCCCACGCACTCACTTGGGCATTTGGGACTCGAGGGCCATGTGCCGCCAGCTGTGTGTTCCAGCAGCTGGAACTCTGACCCTGGTGCCGCAGAGCCCAGCCCCTCCGGTACCCCCCCCCCCC